CCCGCCGGCCGAGCACGCCCCCGTCCGGAGCCACGCCCCCTCCCGTCCGCTGGGCGCGGGACCCCAGCCCTTTCTACGCTGGCGCATACCTCCTCTTCAGCTCGCTGCCCGTGGAGCCGCGGCCCTAACCAGGTCCCGGCCCCGCGTGGATTTCGGACGAGGGGCGGAGCCGAGCACCGAGTCCGCCTCCCAAACCCTTGGCCTCTGGCCTGCGGGTTTGGGAGATGCCAGGAGGCGGCGCCCGGGAGGGGCCGGCCCCGCGCCGGTTCCCCGCCTCCGGAGTCCTCTGCAGGAAGTAGGGCCCGGGTGGCCCAGAAGGGGAAGAGGCAGAGTCGTGCCAGTGCTCCTGCCAGGCCCCATTGTCCCTGCTTCCCCTCCCACCCCCCACCGTCCGCCCCTTCCCTAGAGCAGGTACCGCCAGCCTTCCCGCGCCCCCTTCAAGGAAGGAGCCTGGGCCTGGGACGAGGGAGACCTGCGTTCCGCTATAGTTGACTTGGCAGACTCCCAGCCATTTGGACAGGCCCCCTTAGACTCCCTGGCCTCGGTTCCCCGACCTGTAAAATGGACAGGAAGAAGAGCAGGCTTCTTCCTGCCCTTCCCTCCCTGACATGCTGTGGGTCTGCAGTCTCTGCTGAGTGAGGGGCCTGGTCGGCATCTCAGTCCCAGGGACAGGTGGCCTCCTAGGAGAGGCAGACCGTGTTTCCTGCAGACTTCCTCCATCCCCTGACAATGGCACAGGCGTGAAAGGGCAGGAATAAGGGACTCTTCATCCAGCAACTCCTGAATATCCAGGCCTTAGAACAAATATATACACACCCCCACCACTAGCACCGCCACCTACCCCAGACATCCCTGAAGAAAGGTAACCACAGAAACAGCCATAAATGTGGAGCTGGGCGTTAGTGTTAGGCTGAGACAAACTGTCTTCCTAGCGTCTCTAGGGGAAAACTCAAATCCTCCTCCACAAAAACAGTGAGTGAACTCCCACTACACAGGAGGCTGCGGAGAGAAACCGGTGGGTGGCTTTGAGGGGCAATTGGCTGGGGACTGGTAGGCAAGGCGGGCCGAGCCCAGACCCCTCTGTAAACAGAAGGCAAAAACAAACCCAGAGGTTGCTAGTCTCATCTCGGCCCTGATGTGAGGATCACATGAAATGATGTCTGTGAACATCAGAGGCACCCACGGTGGTGATGCCATACAGAGCCGGCTCTGGCACCTGGGGTACCATCCTTCCTTCTCAGCAGAGACCAGCAGCCAAGGTCATTTCATAGGCTTCCTGCAGCATATCTATGCAGAGGGGAGGGTTCCAGGTGAGGAGCCCTCCATCGGATGCCCAGACCAGGCCCATCAGCCAGGTGGCTGCAGATGCTGGGTTAGCATGCATAGCTTATGTTCTGCTGTGGTCACCCACCTAAGCCCACTTCAGTGCAGGTTAGGGACATGGAGAAGACTCTGCACAGGTGTCAGGAAGCCCGGCACCTTCCATCTGGAGATGTCCGCCCTCCTTCGGAGCTTCCAAGCCTCCACTGGCCCCTCGACTTGCAGCCGATGGCAAGAGGAAAGTGTTAGCCAAGGTGTCCGGGTCATTAGGAGCCAGGCCTGGACGGGCTGCACATCAATTCTGCCCACAATCACTGACCAGAATCGGTCACGTGGTCCCTGGATGCAAGGGGTCTGGGAACTGCAGTCTTCTTATTTGCTCGGGAGAAAACGGTCGCTTTGCTGAGGGTTTCACGATGTCTCTGCCACAGAAACGGGGCACACTTCTCTCACAAGGCCACAGACGTCCCCACGAAGCACAATAATGCCCGTCATCAAGGCCTGAGCTATGACCACTTGCAAACCCAGCTCTTGGGAAGAGGGTCAGGAAAGGCTCACAGAGCCGGTGAGAGTTTTTGAAAAGATGAAGAGGGGAAAGCATGGTAGATGCAGGCAAGAGGCAGCGCGGACAGGAAGAAGCTCATGGAGATGGCAGAAGCAGAGTTCCCGGACCCCGCCTCTCACACAGAACCGCGTGCCCCGGCTGCTGGCCGGTTCCTCACCTGGCATGACTTCCCCTCTCTCCCCACCCATCTGGAACCTCAAGGCGCAGTTCAGCTCTCACCTAGCCCTCCAGCCTGTCAGCCTACCTGTGCTCCTCTGTCCTCTGAACTTCTGAAAAGGCGTGTGTCTCCCTCAGGTGAGACACAACCTGGTCTCTTCTTGTGTCTACTGCACGTTCAGAACAAGGACTATAAACCCCTCAGGCTCCTTAGTGGAGGGAGAGCATAGAGTAGTTTCTCAATAAGTACTTTGGCATTTAATAAACTAGAGCAAGTGAGAAAGCAAATTCAGAGTCAGGCGTACTGGGTTCCTGGAGCTGCTGTAACAAAGCGCTACAAACTGGGTACCTCGAATGACAGACATTGACCGTTTCAGTTCTGGAGGCTGGAAGTCCAAGATCAAGGTGTCAGCAGTATTGGTTCCTCCTACAGGCTGTGAGGAAGAGTCTGTTCCAGCCTCTGCTCCAGCTTCTGCAGCCTTGGGTGTTTCTTGGCTAGTAGGTGGCTGTCTCTTCCTTGCGTCTTCACATGATCTTCCCTCTGTGTGTCTGTCTCTGTGTCCAAATGTCCCCTTTTTATAAGGACACACGTGATATTGGATTAGAGCCCACCCTAACGACCTCTCCCTACCTTGATCATCTGCAGAGACCCTATTTTCAAATAAGGTCACATTCACAGGTACTGGGGGTAAGGACTTCAACATCTTTATGGAGGACACAAGTTGACACATGACAGGTGCCATGCTATACATACACTTTGTCTTCCATGAGATGGCTACAAACACTTAAAGGCAGGAATGACTCTGATTATTATGAATAGTAATGTCTGATTTCGTTTTATGACATTATTTTTGAAGCACTTTGGCATATGCTACCGCCAACATTCTTGAACTTCTTTCCACATTTCACAAATGAGGACGCCTATGCTTGGAAAAAGGAAATGTCTAGGGTCACATATTAGAATCGGTGACAGCCTGGTCTAAAATCCAGACTCAATGCCAGGCTCAAAACGGGGCCCACACAGGCTTTGTCAAAAATACTATTTAAAAAAAATGATGTGTTGTTCTTTGATGAACTCGAGAGCGTATCCTGCTAGGGAGGTTCTTTCAAATAAATGGGGCTCTAGCTCTTGAATGTTCGAGGAGGTGGAGGCCAGCTTCTCTCTGGGTCCTTCTTTGATTCTGTCACTGTTTCATTTGTAATTACAGAGGGGAGAAGTGTGGCTGCCGGGAATAGACTGGGCAATGCTAACTTAGGGTAGAGGTGGCACCTCTGGCTGCCCGCCCTTCTCCTGACCCCAGAAGCTCAGAGCGGAGGAAACAGCCAGAAAACACGCTGTTGGCACCAGCGGCAAGTGTCACTGGATTCTGCCTCGTGTCCGTGGGTGGGTCGGAGGTGGGGAAATTGAATTATAGGCCGTCTCGCGTATCCCTGAAGTCCGCCGGTGGTTATGACAGCCCCTGAAGCAGATACTGCGGCCCGTGGGTCACCCAGGAAGTGTGACTCAGAGGCGCATGAGGACAAATCCCCTTCTCTGTTCATCTTTGCCAGCTCCAAGGGCTCCAGATGAACTGGAGTGTCCCTTCTCCTAGAGCAACTGCCCTGTTATGGACTGAATTGTGTCCCCTCAAAATTCATACATTGAAGCCCTAACTCATAATGCACATGTATTTGGAGACAGGACTTTCAGAAGGGGATTAATGTTGAATGAGTTCGTAAGGGTGGGGTCCTGATCCAACAGGATTGGCGGCCTTATGAGAAGAGAAAGAAAGAGTGAGATCTCTCTCTCTCTCCACAAAGGCCGTGTGGGGACACAGCAAGTAGGCAGCTATTTGCAAGGCGGGAAGAGGGTCCTCATCAGAGTCCAAGTCGGTCAGCACCTTGATCTTGAACTTCCAGCCTCCAGAGCTGCGGGAAATCGATGTCTGTTGTTTAAGCCTAAGGTATTCTACTCTAAGGTATGTTGCTGTGGCACCTGGAGCTAAGACACACCCTCTGTGCCTTCTCGTCTTCTATTTCTCACCCCATCGGCCCTGTTGCCCCTCTTCAGTCTCGAGGCTGGGGTTCCCGGGACTCTGTCTTCAAGACCGGAGGCTCGAGGACCTCGTTCCTTGAGCAGTACTTTGCCCTCATGCCCCTGCTCCTTAACCGTCTCCCCGACCTTGGCTTCTGGGGAGCAGAGTGAGGGAGTGGAAAGGAGGCTGGCTTGTCGGTGAGGGCTCAGGAGCAGGATGCCAGGTCAGGCGGACCCGGAGACAAGTTCCAACTCCTGGAGTCACTTGCATCAGGACCCTGGAGGTCCCTTAACTTCGTTTAGCCTCTGGAATACTTCGTGGGGTGGTCAAGAGGCTTAAATAAGCAACACTGGACGTTCTCAAATTCTCCTTCTTCCCTCCCTTTCCTTTCCTTTGCTTTCGCAAGCCTAGAACATTCTCTTCAGCAACCCAGTGGAACCCTAATCCAGAGTCTGACTTTCTAATTTGTAAAACGTGGATATTAATATCTCCCTTGGATTAAAAGAAGCGATGTATGTAAAGGGCCCATGATAGATACTCGATAAATGATAAGCACGTTGCCTCCGTCATC